AGTATAAACAAGAATATAATCAATTAAAGAATAACTATAATACATACAAATCCTTATTTACAGATGGGTCCAAGGACGGTGGCGCAGTGGCATGTGCCACTGTCATTGGATCCAGAACACTATCTTCTAGAATACCTGATAACAGCTCTATATTTACAGCAGAAGCAAACGCCATCTTAACAGCTCTTAAATATATTCAAAGACATCCCAAACATAAACAATATATAATATTTTCTGACTCTCTTTCTTGCCTTCAGGCGATTAAAAATCTCTCTTCCAAACATCCACTTTTAATTGAAATAATCGAATTATATAATGAGCTTGCTACTGGCCAATGCGACATCGTCTTTTGTTGGTTACCCAGCCACGTTGGCATTTCTGGGAACACAATGGCTGATCTTGCTGCCAAGGCAGCACTCAACAAATCTGTGACACCACTTCTTATTCCATATTCTTATTATAAAGCTGGCTTAGAACTTACATCAGTGATCTGAAGCAGAAGAAGTGGGACACCCAGGTGGGTATCAATAAATTACATGAAATAAAACCCTATATTGGTTATACCTACTTGGGTTGTCGGTCCAGATTTGAAGAGGTCATCATGCGACGATGTCGTATTGGCCACACTAGATACACGCATGCGTACCTATTGAAAGGTGAGGATCCTCCGTTTTGTATCCCTTGTGACAAGAGAACCACAGTCAGGCATTTCCTGCTTGACTGTGTTGAATTCTCCATCATAAGGGATAAATACTTCAATGTGAAAACAGTTAAGGATCTTTTTACTACTGTTAATTCTCATTTAATTATTGGTTTTTTTTAACGAAATTGACTTAATGAATGAATTTTGAATAATATGCTGTGTACATATTTGTATTTTAATTATTGGTAGACTTGATTAATAACTTAGATTGTTAGTGGCTGTACCCTCAAAGGGGGTTGAAGTATTGTAAAATTATTGTCCTCCTGAGAGGGTACGTAAGTCCAAAAACATTTCAAGTAAATTTAAGTATACCAGGTGTTTTAATCGTAGTATTTTTGTCATTTTAATGTATGGCTACTTCTCGGTATAAACGCCAACAGCTGAAGGGATGGTGTAAATCCAGCTAGGGTCCATGCAGGTAGCAAAAGTAATGTAAGTCCCCATGGCCCCTAGTATGGTGATCTACCTTCAGTTGTTGGCGATCCATAGCCCATTTTTATATTGTGTTGTCCCCTATAGTTAATATGTTTTAGATTCAATTACTAGTTTTACATATATATCTGTGATACTCTAGCTGCTTTACTGTCCTTTGTCGGCAGCTTTTTATAATATCTATATATATATATTCTTTTTCAATATCAAATGTTCTCGTCACGATATGGCTGAAATATTGCCGATGTGACGTTAAATCTTAACTCACTCACTCACATTGTGACAACGTTACATGACAAGGTTGTAACAGCCCATCTGGGTGTCTCCAGATTTATATTGTGACAACGTTAAATGACAAGGTTGTAGCATCAAATATGGGCGTCTCTAGATTTACATTGTGACAACGTTACATGACATGGTTGTTGCAACAAATATGGGTGTCTCTAGATTTACATTGTGACAACGTTACATGACAAGGTTGTAGCAACAAATATGGGTGTCTCCACATTTTCATTTTGACAACGTTACATGACAACATTGTAGCAACAAATATGGATGTGTCAAGATTTACGTTCTACAACATAAGAACCATCTGGAAGTCCACAGATTTAAGTTGTGACAACGTTAAATCACAACGTTGTAGCAACCGATCTGAAATTTCCTCTTTCACAGATGATATATCTAACAGTAATTCAGGTCTTGGTCAATAGAGACAGAAATTTCGACATATTCTATACTAGACGTATTTAAAGCAGATTGATTGATCAACTGGTATAATCTAATTAATAGGTTATGTCTGTGTTTGTGTTGTTTTGCAATTCATCGATCTTGGACAATTCACGTAACTCGGGCTGCAGTATGATGGCCATTACTAAAACCGTCCTTGATTTTCATGTCGTGCCTCTCCACCCTGACACGTGGACTCCAGCCCATGATAACGGCTGCTAATCTGATTGGTCTACACTTTATCAGTTACCAACCAAATGTAACTGGACTATTGCGCAACATTAGAAATCTGAAGTCGCAATCTGGTTTACTGCAGATAACTATTTTACTACGCTAAATATGTATTAAAGATAAACTCAATGTAGGTCAGGGTGAATTGTTGCCAGACTGTTAGGAACTTATCCTAGCTATCTCCGACCTGTCCCTAACGCAGGAACAACAAGTTCAAGGTGACATACCCATGACTGAGACTTGCATATGCTACTACACTGACCGTAAAACCACCCTCCACAAGTTCAAAAGTAGTTCATAGTCGTTGCGTTACCATCTGTGGCTCGTGGTTGAGTTCCCTGTCCCCATTTCAACCGGAGGCGCGTTAAGAATCTTTTTAGCTGTATTATCATTTAATTATTGAAATTTTAAAAGAAATTGATCTAATTGATAAATTTTGATTGATATGTTTTGTATGTAGATATATATATTGTGAGAAAAAAATATAGGATCACAGGAAAATTCAAGCGTTCCTTTATTATTTTCCAGTTTTCATCACCACAGCGCTATTCAAAGCTGGTGATGAAAACTGGAAACTATTAAAGGAACGCTTGAATTTTTTTGTGATCCTTTATTTCTTTCTCTCAGTATATTTTATTATTGGTAGTTAAATTAGCAACTTAGATTTTTAGTGGTGGTATCCTCAAGGGAGGTTGAAGTACCGTACAATTATTGTCCTCCTGAGAGGATACGTAAGCCACAGAACATTCGAAGTAAAATATAATCTTCCACTTTTTTATTCGTAGTATTATTGTCATTTGTGGCTAAATTTGCCTACAACCGACAGCAGCTGAAGGGATGGTGTAAATCCAGCTAGGGTCCATGCAGGTAGCAAAGACACTGTCAGTCCCCATGGTCCCTAGTATGGTGATCTACCTTCAGTTGTTGGCGATCAATAGCCCATTTTCACACTGTATTGTCTAAAATAGTTTCCTAGTTATAAAAATACATGCTGGATAGTTTTGTGATACTCTAGTTATTTTACAGTTGGTTATTTAACAACTTGTATTTATTGTGCATGTACAACATTTCTCGTTACTATATGGTTGAAATGCTGCCGATGTGACGTTAAATGTTAACTCACTCACTCACTCACTCACTCAACCAGTGGTGCTTCAACTATGAGAGGCTTCTGACAATGGCTTGGGACGTGTTTACATATCAGCCATATTTCTAGAACTGACTACAGTTGGGTTTGATCTCACGGACACAATCTGTCCCCGCCTTTTTCCTTATTTATATAAGCCAGAATTTATGGTCTTATAGCAAAATCAGGAATGGGAATTTGCCCATGAAGTTTAACATAAGCTGTAGATGTACTGATGATCTTATATCATACCAAGAAATATATCGCATTCATAAGTGTTGATGAACAAAGTTATATATTCTTGGTATATGGCTATTTAATAAGATCAGTATTGAGATCAGATCAAAGTATGTTTATCCGCTATTGTTTTAGCAGTAGAATAGGTGTGTTGTTAGAGCTTGGCGACTTTTCTCAAGAATCGCCAGCACCATCAGGGATGATGTCAATCCAGAAGGGTTTCAAGCAGATAGCGTGCAAGACTGTAAGTCCCCATGGTGGTGATCTACCTTCAGTTGCTGATGATCTATAGCCCGTTTGACATTTTATCGTACTGTATAATAATATCTTTGTATGATGACATGCTAGTTTTAAGTCAAAACTGTTATAGCACTGTAAAAGTCCCCATGGTACATAGTGTGGTGATCTACCTTCAGCTGCCCATACTATTGTATTGTCGTCAAATGTAAAATAGTTTTGGATTTGCATGCTAGTTTTAATCATCATATGTAATAGTCCGTTAATAACTTGCTTTTTAACAACTTGTATTTATTATGTATGCAGAACTTAATAATAACTAGAATATTTATAACGCGCCTTTTCCAGGCTAGATATCCTGCTCAAAGCGCACAATCTGATCATTATTACCCCGGATAACCCAAGCTGCCTGTTAGGCTCTAGAAGGTTAATAGTCTCACGACTTATTTCCCCGGGTACCCATTTTCTGCTGGATGAATACAGGCAAATTTGAACAAACTCCCTTGCCTAAGGTGAGACCACTTGTATCACATGTGCTTCGTTGTGGAGTAGGACTGAAGTCCCAGAAAGTCTCAGGAGTCAAGCTGCCAAACACGGTCAACCATCCGAGGACTATCCGCGCCCAACGTTGCTTAACTGATTTGTGACCTGAGCTCTATGCACAGGATTCGTTGACAGAATTTTATAATTTACCTTTAATTGTTAACATATTTATAACTTGATCTAGTCACGATATGGCTAAAATACTGTCGATGTGACTTAAGATCTTAACTTACTCACTCTATGCACAGGGCCACACACCTCCACTTATCTCGTCACTATAAAGCCGAAATATTGCCTAAGAGACGTTAAAATTTAACTCATTCACTCAAAATCTGTTATTCACCAGTTGGTTTTATGTCCAATGGAGACAGGTTTTGATAGTTTGTTTGTATATTCGTCATCAAACGGCTAAGTATTAACTCTCATTTGATAATAGTCACAAAGACGTTTTGTATTATCTCAATCACTCTCTCTCTCATTTAATAAATTTCAAAAAGACAGAACTGAATTGATCTTGGTTTTCGAGAATATTTATAATTTTCTAAACACAATTAACGAATATTATTCAACATAAAATTGCAGTTGTATGTAAATAGTGTGAATATCGGTACTCCGACCATAAACATTAAAGAACATTCGTGCATAACCCATAATATGACCCCTTTACTTTGTCCACTCCTTATCTACAATATGTTTCATAGATTTCGTGACAACTGACATATGCTATTTTCACATGCAGATTGGAAACATATTTAAGCCCATGTTGCAAATCAGATATAGCATTATATACCTGCAGAATGTTTCTACAGGCTCTGTGCACTTCATTGCTTTGGGGAGCGGTGCTCTCAGACACAACCGTCACAATCTACAACGAGTGGCTTGCCCAGGATGGACGTGTCAATTATGAGGTTGAACGATGGAACAACGTTAATGGACTCAGCAAAATCAACCTAATTCCAAATATGAAATCTATCGGAGCGGTTCCTGGGCGTTGGGTGAACAGAGACCGGAGAGAAGATCTCTTTATAAAAGTACGTATAAAATGAAAACATACTAAGTTATTATATAGAAAAACAACACCCAGCATTAGGAGTTAGTTAGTTTGAATTTAAGCCACTTTTAGCAATATCCCACCAATATCACGGCGGGGAACACTCAAAATGGGCTTCACACATATACCCATGTACCCATGTGGGGAATCGAACCCGGGTCTTCGGCTTGACAAACGAACGCTTTAACCACTGGGATAATCAACCGCCCACAATATTAGGAAGCGATATGTTTCATGTATGACTTTAATGTCCAGGGTGCCTTGTAGAAAGTGATCCAAGCTCCCCAACCTAACATAGACTCTAGATCGCAGCACCAGGTTTGCTTTGTACAACGACAACATGGTGTGAATACTGAACGCTACATTGTAGGATGAGCCGTACTCCCACCATTCTTAATATAAGACCTCAGACAACGTGAGCTTATGCAAGTTTATGTATTTTCACGATGTCGACAACAGATGTTCTGGTTCAGATTATAACATCCACTGTGTCGATTTGTTGCAAATGTTTGTTGCCAGTGGAACTGAGTGTACCTCTCAGTAACACAATGGTTCCAAAAACAGAAAATCTCTGAGCTAGTCCACATCAATTGTGATCCTCAATAAGTACAGTCTATATCTTTGATCATACGGTGAACAGGGTCTTACATAATCACTGCATGACTGTATAATATTTACAAATCATTTAACAAATCTAATTCTAACACGTCACAATTTAATTCTGGACTCACAAAAGTCCAGAAACTCTCTGCACTGTGGGCACTTTCTGACAAGGGATTTGACCAAATTAAACATGCAGTTGTTATGAATATATGCCAAGGATGAAAAAATGAAAAAAAATTCTTTCGGCGAGAATGTGTAATTTCGATCAGAATTCATGTTTTGGAGGTTGTAAATGAATGAGTGTATGTTTGTAAGCATCATGAAACAAATTTCAACTCATTTTGACTTAATTCGACTAATTTAGAGCGATATTAAAAAATCTCGCCCATGGGCGAAAAACATTTTGTCCCATGGGCGAGAATATTGACTTTTACTCAAAATATATGTTCTCCCATGTTTTTGAGGTTGTAAATGAATGAGTGTATGTTTATAAGCATCATGACACAAATTTCAACTCATTTTGACTTAATTCGACTAATTTAGAGCGATATTAAAAAATCTCGCCCATGGGCGAAACACATTTTGGCCCATGGGCGAGAATATTGGCTTTTAACCAAATACATGATTTTCCATGTTTTGGAGGTTGTAAATGAATGAGTGTATGTTTATAAGTACCATGAAACAAAATTCAACTCACATTGACTTAATTCGACTAACATAGAGCGATATTACAAAATCTCGCCCATGGGCGAAAAATAGGTTGGCCCATGGGCGAGAATATTGACTTTTATTCAAAATACATGATTTTCCATGTTTTGGAGGTTGTAAATGAATGAATGTATGTTTATAAGTATCATGAAACAAAATTCAACTCACATTGACTTAATTCGACTAACTTAGAACGATATTAAAAAATCTCGCCCATGGGCGAAAAATAGGTTGGCCCATGGGCGAGAATATTGACTTTTACTCAAAATACATGTTTTTCCATGTTTTGAAGGTTGTAAATGAATGAGTGTATGTTTATAAGTACCTTGAAACAAATTTCAACTCATTTTGACTCCATTTGACTAACTTAGAGCGATGTTAAAAAATCTCGCCCATGGGCGAAACACATTTTTGCCCATGGGCGAGAATATTGGCTTTTACTAAAATACATGATTTTCCATGTTTTGGAGGTTGTAAATGAATGAATGTATGTTTATAAGTATCATGAAACAAAATTCAACTCACATTGACTTAATTCGACTAACATAGAGCGATATTACAAAATCTCGCCCATGGGCGAAAAATAGGTTGGCCCATGGGCGAGAATATTGACTTTTACTCAAAATACATGTTTTTCCATGTTTTGAAGGTTGTAAATGAATGAGTGTATGTTTATAAGTACCTTGAAACAAATTTCAACTCATTTTGACTCCATTTGACTAACTTAGAGCGATGTTAAAAAATCTCGCCCATGGGCGAAACACATTTTTGCCCATGGGCGAGAATATTGGCTTTTACTAAAATACATGATTTTCCATGTTTTGGAGGTTGTAAATGAATGAGTGTATGTTAATAAGTACCATGAAACAAAATTCAACTCATATTGGCTTAGTTCGACTAACTTAGAGCGATGTTAAAAAATCTCGCTTATGGGCGAAAAATAGGTTCGCCAATGGGCGAGAATATTTACTTTATTCAAAGTATATGGTTTCCATGTTTTGGAGGTTGTAAATGAATGAGTGTATGTTTATAAGTATCATGAAACAAAAGTCAACTCATATTGACTTAATTTGACTAACTAAGAGCGATATTAAAAAATCTCGCCCATGGGCGAAAAAGAGGTTGGCCCATGGGCGAGAATGTATAATTTCGATCAGAAGTCATGTTTGGGAGGTTGTAAATGAATGAGTGTATGTTTATAAGCATCATGACACAAATTTCAACTCATTTTGACTTAATTTGACTAACTTAGAGAGACATTAAAAAATCTGGATTATTTACGGTAACATGGATTAGCTAATAGCGAATTGCCGGGAGACCCACTTTCACTCAACCATACCCATTGCCGGTTGAGCCAAACCATTTTCAACTCTTGTTCTCTTAAAAGGGGCTTTCCCGGACTATAGCTATCAGCACACCCCAATCCGACCATCTGTCATTAATTACCTGTCATGAGCTATCAGTTGTATTGAAAGCTCTCGCCTATTGTTTCATTACTTAATTGTTTCACGGATTGGTATGTAGTCACTCCAAATTCACCCATATGTGCGTGACTGTCCTCTCCGACGTCCGCGCCCACCTCTCAACCTAGCAATCTCGATCCACTTTCTGCTCACTATCAAGCCATCTACAACTTCACCTCTCTCTCCAACCACCTGTCTTCTCAGAGGTCCGCGCGCCTCTATATTCCTTCATTTTTTCACATCAACTCTACCTCCCAACAACTACTGTCTCCTCCGAGGTCCGCGCGCCTACAGCCACCACCGACCCCCGCCGCCTCTCAAGTACCATCCATAACAAACTCCACGGTCAAGGCCGCCCATAGCCCCTAAATTACTACACTCGCTCAGCCTGCCTTGCCCCCTCAATGCTCCCATACCACCCCTTCACCCCACCCACCCTAGAAGGACTTACAAGGTCCTTTCATACGTTGGCGACTGTGCACAAATTTAGCCATCACTTAAAAACACAAGTATCCTACTATTATAAACCTGGTGTATCTAAATTTACTTCAAATGTTTTTAGACATACGTACCCTCTCAAGAAGACAAAACTGTGAAACCCGTAAAGGTCCGGGTCAGAATTGGCCTTCAGTAACCCATGCTTATCGTAAAAGGTGACTACCGGGATCGGGTGGTCAGGCTCGCTGGCTTGATTGACACATGTCATCGGTTCCCGATTGCGCCGAACCCGTGAAGATCCGGGTTAGAATTGATCTTCAGTAACCCATGCTTATCGTAAGAGGCGACTAACGGGATCGGGTGGTCAGGCTCGCTGGCTTGGTTGACACATGTCATCGGTTCCCAATTGCGCTGATCGATGTTCATGCTGTTGATCACTGGATTGTCTGGTCCAGGCTCGATTATTTACAGACCGCTGCCATATAGTTGGAATTTGCTGAGTGTGGCGTAAAACTAAACTTACTCGCTCACTCACTCCAAACTGTGAAAATTAGGAACACCTCTAGCTACCAACAATGTCAACAAGAACATAATGGAGTCCCTGCATCAATACATCTTCAAGACTAAACGAATCGATAAATTATTCTAGACCAATATCTGTACGCAAATAATTAAATGTAACTGCAAGTTCAAGGTTCCTAAGCACGTACGTACAATGCACATTTACCCTACCTCATGTAATAATGTCCATCTCTGATTGATTCACGTGACCTTGAACAAATGGTGGACGGAAAAAAGTCAGAGGAAAAAAAGTCATGAAAAAAAAGACATAGAAAAAATAACTATTATAAAACATCATGTCCTCCAGTTATTTACTTTGTTTATACTATTTCACTTTCAAGTTAATTATTCCTTTAGTGTGACGCTTTAAGCAATTGGATCTTATCAAAACAGGAGAGATGAACAGATTGTGGGATTAAAAGTCACAAGTCACCTGATTGTTTATTTAACTAGCTTTGAGCTTGACGATATCACAGCGATTAATGAACTCATGGGATTATCAGTTAATGCTCTCACTCAAATGGCTCCCTTCTAGCAGCTAATATAAGACTCGCTGGCCGTCAGACTGTGATCCAAACTCTTCATGGCATTGGCTGGAACATTCGGTTCAAATAATAAAAATATGCTGGGACAACTGACTGATGTAGTGCTGTTGCAGATCAAAGTGTTATGATGACAGTGCATTTTCTGATGTCATGTATTTTACTTGAATGATTACATTAATTTTATAAGTTAGGCTCAAATGTGGTAGTGCTGTTGATGATAATATTGTTATGACTTGTTAAAAAAAATACATCATCAATACTGACCTTTTTTGAGTTTATGACTTTTTTCCTATGACTTTTTTTCCTATCCAAATCTATTACTTTTTTCCCTATGACTTTTTTTCTACAACCGAACAAATTACAATGTATGCCGGGTGCACGGTTGTGCACTGCTTGGGTGGTGGTGTACAAATCATTAGGCAGAATAAATCATTTATATCCCGCCCCATTGAAAAAAACGGTATCTTCCCATAAGACAGACAAAATAGTTTATTTATGTGTCACGTGAATGTACATAAGATAGACCTCCCAAAAGACAGACCGCTTAAAACAGCACGTTTTATGGTTGGTTGCATAAGGCTTAATGAAGCTGTACCCTTGAAAATGTGCATCCACGGCAGTCAGTAAACCGTGAAGCAGTGGTTCAAATCGACTGGTCAATA